CGCGGCCCGGCCCGGCCGCTCGCCCTCCTCCAATTTATTGCCCACCATTGCGAGGCTCGCGAGCCCTAGAAGTGCGCTACACTCCACAAGCCACTCCACGCCGCCCGGCTCCGCTCCGTTCCGCTCCGTCCCGCTCCGCTCGGGCTCGGCTTCGCCAGGCTTGTTCCGCGTTGGGCCGAGGCTGCCGCCGCAGAGGCAGAGGCCTGGCCTAGGGCCTGGTGGATGTCGCTCCCGGTGGCGCCGTCGCTGCTCGCCAGCCTCCACGAACATGGGTCGGACCCCGCCCCCCACGGCGCGCACGGCCTGCTCCCCGAGCTGAGTGTGGCCGACCTGGCCATGTCCCTCAGCCCCAAACACCACCAGCACCAGCAGCACTTGCAGCAGCACCAACAGCAGCACCAGCATCCGGCGCATTCAACGCCCTTCTCCGTCACCGACATCCTGAGCCCGATGGACGAGTTCAGGAAGCTGGAGCTTTCCGGCGCCGGGTCTAGCAGCTCATCTGCCGGCACGCCCGCCCCGGCGCCAAACCCGGCGCCCTACTTCCCTCCCCAGTACTGCGCCCCGGAACTCGCGTACGGCGATGTCCGGGGCCCAGCCGCGGGCTGGTATGGGACCGCCGGCGACCCTCGCTTCGCAAGTGAGTGTGTGTGTGTGTAGCGTGCGTGCGTGTTTGTGTCTAGTGCATCCAGTGAAAAGTGCCCAGCAGTGAAAAGTGAAAGAAAGAAGTGGATACAGTGCGTTGGCAAGTCCTATGGATACCTGCTTTGGATTAAACGATCGCCGCTCGCCGGGCCTCGCAATGCTCCGCTTGGCTTGGTGCAGGTTTGGATTGGATACTCTGTGCATGGCGAATGGGTCGCCCCCACCCCCCACATTAGGATTAACCTCTAAATCTTGTCGTCATTGAAACGTGAGGAAGCGACCCGAGTGACTAAGATGCCATTTGTAAAATGTTTACCAAATGTCTCTCTGCAACGTTGCGAAGAGTTTCCGTCCTTTGCAATACGAACACTTCCTTTCCAAGCTTACGGAATTATCCTACCGAAGAAGTCGTTTGCATTCCGAAGACCTTGTTGTCCAGCCTTTCAAGGATACTTGGAATTGAATTTAAACGTACTAATTGCAAAGTTACAAATCGTATTGCTATACGGTCATTCTTCGCAACCAGTTTTGCAGAACTGTGAATATGATCAGCTGCTCAGGTTAGGGAAAATGTATATAATACTGAATTTGGATCGTGCACCCGTGCACCCCACCACAGATCCCCTCTTTCACCGGGTGGACCCTATCGTTTCGGGCCCCAGCTTTCCGCTCGGTGGGGTAGGACCCGTGGCCTACGAGGCCAATAACACTGTTGAAAATTTCTTGGGATTTCCCGAAGATTCACTTTCTACCACTACTAGAAATTCCCAGAGGACTCCGTTCTCAGTTTTTGTGTACTAAAACAGATGTTAAAGGTGGAAGTTTTTATTCGTCTATACTGGGTGGGTGATCCGCGTAATGCTTATACAGTACCAGATTCTTACGTGCGGACGGGTTGCATACTCGCACGGCGCCGTAAGGCGCCATGGCAAGCGACGGTAGGCAAGCCCGCCCGCACGCGTGAATCCGGTACAGTATAGGCATTAAAAAAAGACGGCGTGGATCACCCACCCTGTATGTTACAAAGCTAAACTCGACACGTGAAATCTACAGAGTTCTTGAGGAAATCCCAAAGGACTTTGGCAATACTTTTCACGAGTGTTCCTCCGTGAAATCCCAAGATTTCTTCTAACAGTGAACAAAAATCAGATTTTGGCACGCTGACGTATAACACTAGGCTTCCCGCTCATGATGGACTGCAATGCAGCGGTCTAATAGTCGCCAAAAACTAAAAGGCGAAGCGAAAATTGACGGGATGGACCAGACAAGACAAAACATTATAGTACGCGTTTAATGTCCTCTATGCTGGTAGAAAAGTAATTTAATCTGACTACAGTCGGTGATCACTATATACAGAGTTGAGCAGCCGCTATTTAGAAACTTTTTGAAAAAAGGGGAAAATAAGTCAAATTATTAATGTTATAATTTTTACATACGACTGCTGATAGAAGTTATGAATTGATCACGTTAATTAATTTTAGGGCTAAAGCAAATGCGATGTAGTATATGTTAGTAGAGAGAGAAATTTTCTTCTTGCAAGGCGGAAATAGGTAACGATGACAGTCGCACCAAATTGTAATTCAGTAAACCAAAGAGCAATACAAAACTTCTCGGAATCTAATTGTTTTCTTCCTGCTTGCGTCAGCCTAGTTTTCACAGATGAATAGTGCCGTAACATAACATGATATGTGTGTCGCATAGTCCCCAGAGCCAGACTGCGCGTAGACTAGTAGACTTCTCGTTTGGCCATGGTGGGCGACATAAGGCAAGCCCCCTCGCACGCTGAATTGTGGTGCCGAATAACCAAAAGGAAAATGCGAACCCTGTGGTACACCCTGAATGATCTTTCAATTCAACGAGGTCAATATATTACAAGTGCCTATATTTTTATTGGCAGGAAGGAATAAGTTTTGTGTAAATTGATGAGGCAGTGTGCAATCATGAAAAACGTGAATGTCAGAGTATGATGATAAATATTTTCGAAACACTGCGCATTCACATGTAAACGAAAACTGAGTCACATCCATTATAGCGTTACATAGCGACGCGGGCCACGTAAATAGCCTGTGGGGGTAGAGCAAGTCGAAGACAAGTCACTTTCTAACGGGAATGTGACATGGTATTCTGAGCGATGCGACATATTTCTTATTTGATTAATTGGACGTCACAGTGTTAGACAACTGTGCACAGTTAAAACCTTGCAAAGCATAATGCCAAATCCTACGCAATTACGAAGCAATGCCTAGTAGTTGCAAAGCAAATGCTTTGCGATTGCAAAGGATGCAAGGATATGGGAAACTCCCATATTTTTGAGGACAAATCCTCCGATCTCGCCTCA